GTCTTCAGCTCTATTGCAGTTGATGGAGCTCGATTCACCAAATAACAGGCGGTATTGACTGCTTCAGCCCAAAATGATTTTTCTAGGCCTGTAGCCCTCATCATTGCTCTTGTTCTTTCTAACAATGTTTTGTTCATCCGTTCTGCCACACCATTTTGTTGAGGAGTGTTCCCCACTGTGAACTGTATTTTGATGCATTCTTTCCTGCAAAAGTCATCAAATTCTTCACTTATGCATTCTCTTCCATTATCTATTCTGAAACACTTGATCTTATTTCCATAATCAAGTTCTACCCGCGCTTTGAAGTTTTTGAAACTGAAAAACACGTCTGACTTCTTTTTAATAGGGTACACCCAACATCTCCTGGAGTAGTCATCAATAAATGAGACAAAGTATTTTGCTTCGCCTAGGGATGTAACTGGTGCTCACCATACGTCAGAATGAACCAATTATAGAACACTTTTGCCTCTAGAATTTGACGTGTTGAATTTCAACCAGTGCTTCTTACTTGTTATGTAATGCTCACACAAAGTGATACCTTTGTTAAGTCTGGAAGTAGCTTTTGCTCCACAAAGACTTTCATTCCTTGTTCTGACATGTGTCCATGTTTATGATACCATAGCATTCTAGAATCTGAACCACATGAGGCAACAGAGGCTTCTGCTTCTAGAAAAGTCTCTCCCTTCAACATGTACAAGTTTGTTGCTATCTTTTCACCTTTCATCACCACAAGCGCTCTATGGAACACCTTTATGATTCATTTCCATTTTTTAATATTGCTTGCATTATTATCCAACAATCCGTAGGATAATAAATTTATCTTTCAGTCGCACATCTCGAACAACTTTAATTATTCCATCATACATCTTCAATTTGATGGTTCTCACGCCAACGATCTCTAAGGAATGATAATTGGAACTATACACAGATCCTCCTGAGACAAGTTCATAATGATGGACCATTCTCTTCTTGAGATCATGTGATATGTTGCTCCCGAATCAATGAGCCATATATCTGTAAATCTTTTTCTACTTTTCATGGTGGTTGACGCTTCACAACATAGAGCATCTCCATCATCTGAAGTGTTTGAGGTATTGCCTTACCTTGTGGATTGGAGTTTTTATTTAGACTCCAACAATCCTTCTTCAAGTGACCCTTCTTTCCATAGTTATAGCACTTTAAATTCTTTTGCTTCTCGACTTTGAACTACCATGTTTGTGACTGTTGCTTTGGCCACGTTCTGTTGATCTCTCTCTCATCGTTGTCAATGTTTCTTCTTGTTGCAGGTTTACTTGTTTGTCTTCTATGTTCTTGCACCGATTTCTTCTTGTAGAACAGCAACTGCAACGTCATCGAAGACTAGACTGGTGACATTATAGTTTGTCAAGTTGATGATGAGTTGATCATACGTATTTGGTAGACTTTAAAGTAGAAGTTCAACACATTCTTGTTATCCTATTATACATCTTAAGGATGTAAGCTGAGAAAATAAAGTGTTCAGTGTGTTTAAGTGCTCCGTCACTGAATTAGATTCTGGCATACGGAGAGTGTACAATTTCCTCTTAAGGAAAATTTTATTGTGCAACGATGTGGCCTCGTACAGTTTGGTGAGATGATCACATATCTCCTTAGATGTCTTCTCCTCCTCGATGCTTGACAATACTTCATCTGCTAATGCTAGATGAAATTTTTCCATAGCATTCCCGTTCATTTCGATCCATTTGTTGTCATCTGTGAAATCTACCGGCCTTTCACTGATAGCTGCTAGACACCCGTCTTTCCTCAGGATGGCCTTCATCTTCAATTTCTATAATGAGAAATTTCTCCCATTGAACTTTTCAATATCAAATTTCGTTGACATAGCTTCTATTACAGATAGCTCCCACTATTTCACTATCGTGAATAGTTCTCTAAAACCTTCAACGAATGGGTAATACATTCTTACTTTCTTATGTTGGAGGATCCACCTTTTGGTAGCAACCACAAAGACAATAAGTAGATATTACACACTCTAATATGGCTCTTGATACAAATTGTTGCGAAATAAGGCTATCGGATAGAGCAAAATCACAACTGATAATTTGAGAAAATAAAAATGAAGATAAAGAAGACACAAATTTTACGTGGAAATCCCCTAAATAATTTAGGGTAAAAACCACGGGCAATGGTAGAAGAATTTCACTATGAGAAAATATGAATTACAACTTCTCTCGGTCTAACAAGGAGAAAATAATGACAATTCTCTATTGATAAAAAGGAGAAAACAACTTTCAAGAAAACTCTCTAAATTCTCTAGTATTTGGAGAAAGCTAGAATGATTTGGGATGATTTTGAAGCTAAATGGGCTAGGGTATTTATAATTGAAACTTAAGGAGTAATCTTGTAAATATCCTAAAGTACATGGACTAATTTTACAATTTTTCCATGCCAAAAGTCATCAAAAATTGCTTCCTAATTTTGACAAATTAGCCGCCCAATTTGAACCAAAACAACCGCCAGCTGCTTTTGATTTTTCAACCGAAGATGTACTCTAAACAAGTATGATCATCAACCATTAACTCAAATTACCACTTAAATTGCGATACCATGATTTTATAAATTCACCCCTCCTAAAATTTTAGAAGTTTACCTCCTCCAACATAAAATTCTACGTGCTTGTTGTGGTGAATATTTACATTAAATCTGGGTAGTATTCTAAATTGAAGGAGTCCTTATATTTTGTGGATGCAGTGCCATAAACCGGTATCAAGAAGCAAGGAAATGGAATAGGTTTCTTATATTTTCCTCTACTTTTTATCACTTACCTTTGTTGAAAACTTTATTGGATACTGATACTGCAAAATTTTGATTATGCAGACGGCAATACCGATTTTGATAGGAACCAAATTTGATGATTTCATCCAACTCCCTATTGATTTGCAGTTCACAATAGCTAGTCAGGTAAATTGTTTTTACCATTCTTCTTAAAGCAAACTCCACTTGTTTGATAGAATCATTTTAAAGACATTGAACAGGTTTGGTATTATTGCTTCAAGATCAGATCTTATTAATGTTTTCTCATTGATAATTCGTTTGGTTTTTTTGGTTAGGCAAGAGCATATGCGAAGGCCATAAATGCTACACTATTCTTTTCAAGTGCTGCATACAACATCAACGTGAACAAGATCTTCAAATTCATTACGGCCAAGCTCTTTGATTTGCCATGGACAATTGAACGCAATCTTACGATTGGAGAACCCATCATTGATTTCTAATATTTATCTCTACATAAGCTGCCCATATTTACAAAAGAGATTCCTCCTAAGCCAACCGGTCAACAGATTTGATTTTTTTTTTTATATTGTGGTCTAGTGATGTTTCGAGTTGTTTGATGGAGCAGTACTTTTGTGGAGACCCCATATTCCCTAGAAAAAAATGTAGGGAAAAAAAGATAATTGTGAAGAGGAAAAAAACATGAAATGCTGCATTGGTTGGGCTAACGATTTTTAAGTCCTTGTATTCATGGAAGTATGATTCTAACTTGCCGTGATATAATTATAATTAATTTATTTTCTTGATACATTTTTAGTAAAAAAATAATTTCACTAGTTATTCAGATGATTTCAACTATATTTCTGAATATATTTAAAAAAAATAATTATGAGACAATTAATATTATCTGAATATATATTCTTTGGAAAATGCGATTTTTTTCCGGCTGAACATATATTTCGGCCACTAATGCGAAAACCCTACTAATAGGAAGCCTCTTTGGAAAATGCATCAGGAAGCGTCTTCCACTAATATGACATTCAATCAATAGAGCGATTTTCATAAGGAGCATATTTCACTAATATGACATCCCAATAAGAAGACGTTTACTTATCCAAATAAATAAATAAATAAATAAAAAATAAGAAGATGTTTCCCTTAAAAGCGCATTTTCAACATAAAATAATTATAATCTATAACAATAATAAAATAGTATTATAATATTAATAAAATAAAAATATTTATATCACTAATAAAATAAAATAAAAATCTTTATAACATTAATAAAATATTTAATTTTGATTTAATATGATATTATAAAAAACAATAATAATAATAATAAAACTAAAACTAATGATATTTATATCATTAATAAAATAAAATAAAAATATTTATATCAATAATAAAATATTACATTAAATTGAATACATATTATAAAAATATTAATAATAAATAATAAAAATGAACAAAAGGATATTGTCCAGCAATGCTTTGTTTAGTGATAAATTTTACAGAGCGGTGGTTGTCTGTTTTGCGTGAAATACCTCCGTATAAGTCATTCTTCAACAGGATTGTTATTGTTATTATTTTCATCGTTTTGATGAACATCATCTTTAATATTATGAGTATGAACTTGAACTTGTATTGTCGGCGGATGACAAATAATTTCCGTAGGATAACAAATACATCTCACCATTCAATAAAAATTATAAAAGATGAAGAAAAATAATATCATCGCGATGTTGATGTCAGTGAAGGAGTATCGCCCGTCAAATGCTATCTATGCATATGAGATAAGTATTGGATCTGACATTACGGGTATATATAATGAATATATATTTTTGAACGTACAGATGCGGGCTTTTCTCCATATATTACCCCCTCTAAATTTGTTAACGTAAACCTTATCCGTACATGATTTTAATGGGAAAACAAACACACACTCAGGTATACGAGAAATTATTTAGGAAATTATATTTTTGTAGATATTGTGAATGGAAATTGCAGATCCAAACATATTGTATGCATCCACTTCAATTATCTGAACATTTTAACTTTTAATAGCATAGAAATTATCGGGGCATTGGACGCAATGACACTAGTCTAAAACGCCCGTCGACCATTTCAAACCTTCTAAGTATTTCACAACATTACATAAAAAAACAAAATCCACCATTTTCACTGATTCTTTATTAAAAAAAAAAACAAATTGAATTGAATGAAATGGGAACTCTGTGCAAGATAGTTGACGGGCTGCTATTGGTGGCGTTCACGGCGTCGTTCGTAACGGCATCTCTGATCTGCGCTCAGATGGTTTTGCCGGAGACCGTTTACCTGGAGTCGTTAGTTCGGTTGAAACAAAGCTACGCGGAGGAGTGCCAAGATTATTGATGGTGGAGAAGCCTCATTTCTTTGTGGCGTTGGTATGGATGGAGCTCACTTTCCAATGGCCCTTGGCTTTACTAAACATTTATGGGATTTTAGCATCCAAGCCTTGGTTTAACACCACTTGCCTTATCTATGGCGTCTCTGCAATTACCACCATGGTAAATATTTACAAAATTTACTCTTCATATTAATATATTAATGTATACATAGGTGTATCTATATTGAAATTCACATAATGTAAAAAAAACATCTCTAGTGTTTGATTAGTCACGTTGAACTATTTGTTTTTAATATTTTGGGATAAAAAATATATTTGTAGATGGAAACCATTAGCCAACAAAGGGTTAATACTCCAAAATAAATGTTTTTTTGTTCTAAAATAAAATGTTGTGTGTCAAGTGTCAACACACATTTACGTCCGGGTACAACACTCTCAACAACCTCGATTTAGTGGATTCCGAAAACAAACATAACGTTAGAATTTTATTAGGATTTAAACTCCTAAAAATATGATAGAGTTTTACTATGATTCAAACTCCTAAAAATAGGATAGAGTTCTACTATGATTCAAACTCCTAAAAATAGGATCCACAAGCATTATAAATAGCCATTGTAACTCACTATTATAACACAGGATTTACATACAAAATACAGAGGAAAGTACGAAAAAATACAAAGGCAAAGCTACTGTAAACGATTCGAAAAGGAAATAAAAGGTAGCATCTTTTTTACCTTAATTCGTTCATTTCTCGCATGTACATGTTATTTTTCTTGAGATTTTGTTCGAATAACCCAAAACGTGGGTTGCGTCGATGACCAAAAAGTGGTGGGGTTTCGAAGTTTCGAACCTAGATCTACCCCCGAGGCGTGTTCCTGTTTTTAATTATTTAATTCTCCCCCCTAAATCAATTTTTTTGCTTCGAATTTTGCTCATCGATTTGTTTTTCCTTTTGATTCAGTATCTTACATTTACGTTTTAATTATTATTATTTTATTTATTTAACTTTATTTATACGCATATTTCCTTTATTACTCATTTTATTTAATTGTTTTGTTATTTTCCTTTTCTTTTTTTCATGTAATATTTTTTTACATTTTTTATGCATTTTCTTTTTTACTTTAGTATATATTTTTATTTTTTAGATTACATATATATATATATGTTATATTTTATTATATGTTTTATTAATTTATATATATATATATATATATACTATTTTTTTATGTTTTATTTATTATATATATATATATATTATTTTTACTTTTTTATTATTATTTTATTTATATATTATTTTCTTCTTTTTCTTTATTTTTTAATAATTTTTTACATATTTTTTTTATTTATTTTACTTACTATTTTATTTTTGCTTTCTTTATCTTATCTTTTATTTAATTTATTTTTTTCTTCATTTTAATTCAATTTATTTATTTCTTACCTTTTTATCTAACATGATTTTTTTACCTTCTTAAGGGCACACCTTTAAAACTATTTAAGGTAAGTAATTGGGATCGTATTTTTACCTTTTAATTTTAAATTACAATTTTCTTAATTTTAGACAACTGGAAATTGCGTAGTACCGAAAGGGCAGTTCAAGGGTGTTAACCCTTCCTTGACTGTAACCGACTCTCGAATCTGACACATCTTTGGAAAGACGCAGATCAGGTAAGAAATAGGGTATCCGATCAACCCATTTATTTTAAAATAAATTATCGGTGGCGACTCCAATTCGTTTAATCCAAGTCGAAGCCCAATTCCCGGGCCTAACCGAAAGGCGGCTCCGACAGCTTGGCGACTCTGCTGGGGACATGTAAGTGAGTCAGGCTAAGGTAATTTCTAGTTGTCTTTTTAACGAAAATGGTAAGTTTAAATTTTAAGGTAACATTTTGATACTTATTGCTTACTTTTGATTATATTTTTTGAGTAAATAGTTGTACTAACCGTTTTATAATGATTTCAACCTTCTGAGCTTGTTTTTCACTTAAGGCTCTAAACCCGAGTTCTAAACCCTATTTAAGTGGGGGTGAAAGCGACACCTTCGTGTGAATTTATTCACCGCACAGACCTAGCAATTAGCCTTCGGGATTCATATATCTTATGTCTTCGTGTGAATTTATTCACCGCACAGACATAAGGGAATGTATCCTCTCGAGTTGAACTTAGTCCACACAAGCTTGTAATAGGCTTAGGACTAAGGGTCTTGAAAGCCCAAGGGGCACCAGCAAGGAGAACTCGGGTACCTTGTTAGAACCTAAACCAAAAGAGTACAGGGAATTAGAGCCCACCCCAAAACCTCATTTCAAACCTAGGATGTCTGAGTTCATTTCCAGCTTTATTTTATGTTTAAAGCATGTGAGCTAGAAATTTTTGCGGTTAGGACTTGTTCAAAATCAACTTACAGAATAGAGATCATGTCCGGGTAGGAATAATAAGCATGTTGGGTAGATATCATGTGGGGTAGGACTTTTTATTTTCATTATTTTTATTTTTATTATCCTTGCCTCACTATTTTTTTTCTTCTCATTTCATTTTCCTTTTTTTTATTCTTTTTTATCATGTATGTCATTCAAAAGAGATATTGATCCACTAAAACATGTTTGTTAAACATAAATAATTTGCATTAATGGACAAAGGGGTTGTAATACAAGAGATGAAAATGCAGTGGACAGTCTACAAGGCGACTATGTGTCACATTCAATCCAGAAGACGTGGTGCCCACAATTGAAGAGTATATTACTCTGTTGCATTATAAAGGACTTAGAATGAACCGGGTCTACATCAAGCACAATGAAAGTCTATCTTGGAATGACTGGCTGGCAGAGGTTGCAGGAGCAAGATGAAGGTTACTGATATTAGGAGTCCCTTTAAATACATCAATGGCAAAACGATAGCTGAAATTAGAGACATTGCTGACAAATTCAAGAAACAGACAAATGAACTTCGCATAGTTCCTATCAATTGAAGGCTCTAATGACGTATTCGTTGGGAACAGGTTCAATAGAAGATAAATGCCAGAGATGTAGCCATTCGAGACTTCTTGTGCCAGTATAAAAAACAACTCAACATTTGCACGGTTCATCCAGAGAAGCCGGAGCGATTCGACAGGTTATTCAATCGATGACAGACGAAGGCAGAAGAATAGTCAACATGTCCGAAGCTGTCAGGATATTTTTGTCTCTTAAAAGATAAAACACTTTTGTCCCCAATAAGGATTATTTATATTAACAGACATATTTTTGGATCAATGCCTCGAGCATTTCATGCATTGTTTTCCATCTACATTTCATTTTAAGCATTTTCATAAACATGAAATTTCTTCATAGAGGATTCGATGAAGTGGTCTTAACTACATGACACCACATGGAAGCAAGATTTTAAAATTGAAATCAGTACAGTGGGAGCTTGATCAGCTGATTATAGGACTAAGCCTGCCAGGGTGATCTGAGAAAGGAGTCCCCATATCCTAAGGGCTACTATGTTGAAGTTGTTTGCAATTACCACATAGGAAGCTCCAAGCATTCCTTTGAGAACTATAAGGCACTGAAGAGCAAGATCCAAAACCTGACGGATTCAGGGGGCATGGACAACCGAAGAAGGGGGCATTGCATATACCATTTGCACATAGAGCATTGTTTTGTTTGAACACGTCTTTGATCTTTCATGTTTGCTTAATCTTTTAAACGATTGAATTTATGCTACTTTCTAAGGTGGAATAATTGAACAAATTTTAATCTTTAGTTCTTCGAATATTAAATGAATTAAATATTCTTTTAATTCTTCAAGAATTATAGATTTTTGACATATGGCAAGATCAGACATTTCTTATCCTATCTCAAACCCAAAATAAAATACCTTGATTCTTTACCCAAAATAATTCATGGTCATTACCAAAAGACCAGATTTTGACATTACCACCCTTTGAAACTTTTGAACCTTTCTTTGAGTCAATAAAGTCACACCACTATCTTTTTAGACTCAAAATTGACTTTTGAACATGAGCATTCTTCTAACTCGAGGCATTTCACAGGGAGCCAGAACATTAAGACATGTCGGGACCAAGAAGTAGAAAGAAGAATTCATTCGAAATAATTCTATAATGCATTAATTATATTGTTTTCATATGAATAAAATTAATCCTGAAAATCTATCCCCCTGGGGATACCTCTTATGTGAAGACTTCCATGTATGAAATGATGAACGGCTTCCTTTCTTCATCCATTCACAACAGGAGAAAATATATATCCCTTGTGTCCCCTTTTGAGCCTATAGTATTTTTCTTCTGATTCAACCCTAACCAAGGATCACCCTCCACACTAGGGGAAAGGTGGAAGAAATCTTCTCACGTGAGTGAAGACATCAATCCAAAGGAGATACCAAATGCCAAGTGCGAAGATCCAATCAGAACAAAAAGAAAAAAGAGAAAAAGAGAAGAAAAAAGCAAAGAAAAACAAAAACAAAGGAAAAAGTGAAGAAAAAAGACAAGACGCATATGCAAAGATTCACTCGATTCAAATGATGTGTCGATATTTAAATTATGAGATTGATCAAGTACAATCATTCCAGAATCACTTCACTCGAAGATCATGGAACATCTAGAGAAAATCAAGAGAAACGCATACGAGGAGATTCAAATTGAGCAAAACATGATTAAAGGCATCAAAATGAATTGATCATTGGTTTAATACCTTGAAACACTTGTTTGGGACTATTTATCCTTTTCTTTAATAACCATGAACCATGGCATATATTACGTGCCTTAAAAGTCCCTTCTAATCATACATGGATTTCTAAACAGAAGAGACTATCTTCAGATTTCATCCCACCCGTCAGGATTAATCTTTATTTGCAAAAAGTTTTTTAAAATCTTTAATGCATGATAGAGAAAAATAACAAAGGGGGTTCAATACGTAAATTCTGAATGACGTCTTGAAACCAAAGGAGGATTCGAGTTGAAAACTTGAAAAGGTGGCTCGAATATAAAAATTGTGCAGCTGAGGCGATCGGACAAATTCCTTGATAAGACATCGCACAATCCGAGCGTGACCATGAAAGTTGGGAGTCGAAGAACACTTCCGGTAAAGGAGCATACAAGCTACCCCATTAAACCTTTGAGCATCAAATAAAAAAAATGCCAAACCTTTGACCAAATACAATAACCTGAGACTTTTTTTACCCATTTCCCAAAGATAGCTTTGATCTTGGCACTTGTCAAATAGCTATAATTTATTGAAGGATTAACAATGTAATTAATTCTTTGATATCCAATGAACTCTAGTTTTATGATTCGTCTCAATTGTAAAACCATGAAAGGGGAAATATTTTCAAAACTTCTGATTAAACATTTTTCGAAACTCTTTTAATTTATAATTTTAGAATTTTGAAAATAAAAGAGAAAGAAAAACATTTTTTTTCAAACAAGACAATCTCTCTTTCAAACACAAAACTCATGCTTAGAATCAATGTTGAAGCAAGAAATGAGAAACATTTGGGGAATCTTTGAAGATTCAACATCAAATGTTGGGGCATTTTTGGAGATTCAACATCGAATATTGGGGCATCTTTGGGGATTCAACATCATGATGTGAATTATCAGACCTTTTGAAGGCATTTCCTCCACATGCAGGAATAAGCAGATAAAGCACGAGACTCCATCCAGGAGATAAAATAAAACTAATTCATGTTACATCATCTTAGACATACTTAAGAGCATCGCAATTATCATTTTTTGTATACATAAGTTTTTGCAGCTTTTAGAGTCAAGTTTCAAAGATACTCGATTCAAAAGAACATTCAAAAATTGATGGTGTTTGCTCAACTTCACAGTGAAAGGGCGACTAACTGTCAACAAACAACTTTCCAAGTTTCATTCAGAGCCAATTTCAACTTCACAGCGAAGAACCAACTTACTCAAGATTGGATTTCAACCTCACGACGAGGGATATCCAATTTGAGGCTCAACTTCACAACGAATGGGTCATCCATGATTTTAACTTCACGACGAATGATATCGTGCCCGATGAAGTGATTTAGTGCCACAACAAACATGTCATCCACATATTTGACTTCCTTAAGTCAACGATTAGAGCTTCTGAAAGGATTTCTTTAACATACAGGAACAAGCAGATTATCAATCGTCTTTGAGATTGTTTCTCTCGAAACAAGGGGTCGTATCGCTTGAGACTAATTTACTCAAAACAAAGTTTTGTCTCTCTTTAGATAGTTTCCCTTGAAACAAATTTTGTCTCTCTTGAGACAGTTTCCCTTGAAACAAAATCTTTGAATCTGTTTTCCTTGAAACAAATTTTGTCTCCCTTGAGACAGTTTCTTTTGGAACTAAGTATTGTCTCTCTTGAGACAATTTCTCTTTAAACAAATTTTGTCTCTCTTGAGACAATTTCCCTTGAAACAAAGTTTTGTCTCACTTGAGACAGTTTCTCTTGAAACACCAATCTTTGAATATGTTTCTCTTGAAACAAAATTTTGCCTCCCTTGGGACAGTTTCTCTTGAAACAAAAAAAAAACCTTTGAAATTGTTTCTCTTGAAACACAAAAAAACCTTTGAAATTGTTTCTCTTGAAACACAAAAAACAACCTTTGAAAATGTTTCTCTTGAAACCCAAGACCTTCAAGTTCGATTACACTCAGCTTCGAGGGCACATCATTTGCAGCATAACTCAAGGCAAAAAGGGCTATTTGTAAACAAAATTGTCGAGTTCGATTCCATTCAGCTCGATGACACATCAATCACACCACTTTTTGGTTGCAATCGAGGTTTTCAAGTCGAGAAGAAGGCCTGGATTAGCCATGCCTTAGTGATAAGCAACCATTTTCAAATAGCATAGCTTAAGTCAAGAAAAGATATCTGTCAACGAAGATCTCTGAGTTCGATTCCAATCCAAGAAGAAGACCGAAGGGCAACGAGAAGCCACTGCTGATTCAAATTCCGAACTACGGCTTTAATTCCATATCAAGATGAACTCGACTTCATGACGGAGGAGTCATCCGCAACTCAATTCTACAGGGAGTTATTGAAACATCAGAGTCAATTTTCAACTCCACCGAATGAAAAGTGTGTCTTTTAATCTTTGTCGTATCCTCATTACACGACTATGGACAAAGATGAGCAGCTGTCAACACATCTTTTCGTTCGGGTACAACACTCTCAACAACCCCGATTTAGTGGGATTCAGAAAACAAACATAACGTTAGAATTTTACTAGGATTCAAACTCCTAAAAATAGGATAGAGTTTTACTAGGATTCAAACTCCTAAAAATAGGATAGAGTTCTACTATGATTCAAACTCCTAAAAATAGGATCCACAAGCATTATAAAGCCATTGTAACTCACTATTGTAACACAGGATTTACATATAAAATACAGAGGAAAGCATGAAAAAATACAAAGGCAAAGCTATTGTAAACGATTCGAAAAGAAAATAAAAGGTAACATCCTTTTTACCTTGATTCGATCATTTCTCGCATGTGCATGTTATTTTTCTTGAGATTTGGTTCGAATAACCCAAAATGTGGGTTGCGCCGATGACCAAAAAGTGGTGGGGTTTCAAAGTTTTGAACCTAGATCTACCTCCGAGGCGTGTTCCTGTTTTTAAATATTTAATTCTCCCCCTAAATCAATTTTTTTTTCTTCAAAATTTGCCCATCGATTTGTTTTTCCTTTTGATTCAGTCTCTTACATTTACGTTTTAATTATTGTTATTTTACTTATTTAACTTTATTTATACGCACATTTCCCTTATTACTCATTTTATTTAATTGCTTTGTTATTTTCCTTTTCTTTTTTCATGTAATATTTTTTACATTTTCTTTTTTACTTTAGTATATATTTTTCTTTTTTAGATTATATATATATATATATATATATATTTACTATTTTTTTATTTTTTATTTATTATATATATATATATATATATTATTTTTACTTTTTATTATTATTTTATTTATTTGTTTTATTTATATATTTTTTCTTCTTTTTCTTTATTTTTTATATTTTTTTACATATTTGTTTTTATTTATTTTACTTACTATTTTATCTTTGCTTTCTTTATCTTATCTTTTATTTAATTTGTTTTTTCTTCATTTTAATTCAATTTATTTATTTATTTCTTACTTTTTTATCTAACATGGTTTTCTGACCTTCTTAAGGGCACACCTTTAAAACTATTTAAGGTAAATAATTGGTATCGTATTTTTACCTTTTAATTTTAAATTACAATTTTCTTAATTTAAGACAACTGGAAATTGCGTAGTACCGAAAGGGCAGTTCAAGGGTGCTAACCCTTCATTGACTATAACTGACTCCCGAATCCAAGACATCTTTGGAACGACGCAGATCAGGTAATAAAAATGGTATCCGATCAACCCATTTGTTTTAAAAACAAATGATCGGTGGCGACTCCAATTCGTTTAATCCAAGTTGAAGCCTAATTCCCGGGCCCAACCGAAAGACGGCTCCGACATCAAGATACTAAAATATAGGCTTAATGTCAAAATTATCCCATAATATTTATCAATATGATCATTTTGACCTTTATTTTTTGAGTATTTTGACTCACAACGTTCCATTTTAGGGCAAAACAGTCTCTAACGTTTGACTAAATAGTTATTTTGACCCTTATCCTACTTTTTCCTAAAGCATTTTAGTATTCAACATTTTATTTTAGGATAAAAAGACCCTTATTTTGAGCTTTAACTGTTTGTTAACTAACGACTTCCATCCACAATGGACCTTTTAACTCCAATAGCTACCGTTGGGGTCAAAATGCTACAAAAAATAATAGGTGCCAAAATGATCATTTTAGTAAATGTTGGGAGTTAATTTTGGTATCATGCCAAAAAAATAAATACTAAAATGACTATTTAGTCAAACATTATGTGGTCTTTTTTCCTTAAAATGAAACATTGAATGTAAAAATACTAAAAAAAAGCTATAATGAATATTTAATTAATAAATATTAAAGACATCTTTTTGACATTTATACAATTTAAGTAATATTCTTTTCTTTTGAACGATGGGATTCTAAAGTTCAATGCTTTGATAGTATTTTTATCCCAAATTATTTTAATTAATTTGTTTTAACAATGCATTTCATATTTCCATTAGCATGCATTTGGAGTAATTAGGGTTTAGATAAAATAAAAAGCCAAAAGAGCACAAATAAAAACCTTGAGATTATCAAAACTTTTCAGAGTTCTTGTTGTGGCTCATCAAATATATTATGTAATCTGCTAAGTTTTGGGTAAGTTCAGACAGCAGTATTAGGAGAGCTGATTGGATCGCAGAAGGGATCAGAGAAGTTGGTGCAAACGCATGCAGTGTTCATGGGAGTGGGAGCCTTAGCCATGATTCGAGGTCTGCTTCCTCAATCTTGCAAGGTTCCAACCATTGGCAAAAGACCAGCGGCCAGGAAGAAGAGGGCTTGATCCATTGCAAGGTTTCAACCATCCCACATATCTTCTCCATTCTTTTTTTTTTAATAATAATTTAGTAAAATAAACTAATGATCTCCACCTCATGACCCAACACTTTGTATTTTTATTTAATTATTTCTATAATTTTGTTTTTGATGTTTTATTCTCTAATTTTTTGAAGAAATTACACATTATAAGTTTGATGAAATGTGTAATGCAATACAATAACTTTGATTTAGTGTAGTTATCTATGTGAAACATTGATTTAGTTCAATTGTACAGATGAAACTTTAATTCAATTATACATATTTTTAAACATTAAATGCATTCATTTATTTATATATACAAGTATAATTATTCATATATGCAATGTGCTCGACATTGAAGGCCCCATTGCCCAAATCCTTATAGGAAATAAAACTGAAGTTTTAAAATCCTCAATTGTAACTAGAATGATTTCTTAATTGACGTTTCACATTAAAGACATGAAAATTTTAAAAATCTGAATAAGATAATCAAATAAAATTAGATTTCTACAATTACTTCTTTCTTATTATTATGGAACGAGAATAAAGTAAAGATTAAAAAATAACTAATTTTGTCTGATTAGACTAAACTCCACTTCTTGGCGTAGTCACCCTTTTTCGACTTTTGATTGATCCATTTCTCGACTTTTTCGGATATTGATTTGCTTTATTAATCTAATCCCTATTGTTTCGGAGGTTAGGACTTGCAAAATTAAAAGTGTGCCGAATCAAATTGAACGTGTCGAGGAAAAGCGTCGGCTATATAAATTCATCAGCAATGCGGATTCCCGTGGATTTCTATGATTTTATCATATCGAGTCAGTAGGTTAATGTTCAACTCAAACGACTATCGATTTTTTTAATAAAATAAAATGAGTTTGAAACATATGAATAGTTAAGCGATCATTTTATATATTTAATAATCGAATACTCAATAAATTAGTGACATATAATCAAGAGACCCTTTTATAAATTTTAATAACTATGATACTCACCAAAATAAAATCATATAATTTAAAGATTATTTTTATACTTTATAAAAAAAATTATTGCCACTTAAGCTCGAAAACTTCCCGGTAAATGTCCACAATAAGTTAATTTCGGCATAAAACATTAAATTACCAATAATTTTGAAGAAGTCAAAAATAGGAACTAGAAATCAAAATTGACTGGTTTGAGTATTTTCATTGCAACGGAGACGCCGAAAAAGGAGAAAATGGATTCCCCACATATCTCAATAAGGCACCCAAGCCCCTATGCTTTCAAACAAAAATCAATAACTTTTGTATTAATTTTTTTAATTTGATCTTTTAATTTAGAAGATAAATTTAAAGTGGTTTTTGATTAATATTTTCTATGGTTGACCATTATAATTGTTGATATGACATTTCACGTGTTTATGTGACAATTCACGATACTAACATGACAATTTATTGTGATAAATAATATAATATATGACATGACATATAAATTAAATTAGTTTTTATTTTATTTTGTTCGAGAGTCAAATTAATATTTTAATAAGTTCAATAGATTATTTAATTTAAAAAATATTTTAAATTATAAATATAAAATTATTCAAATATGAATATATATATATATATATAAATACTAAAAATGAAAATTAAATTATTGAAAATTTGAATATAGCTATTAAAAATACTAAAACTATTATAAAAAATTTTAATAATAGAATATATATAATAGATTATAAAATAATCAATTAAAAAAATATAAAATTATTTTTAAAAAATATATTATACATGACATATATACATATTATCAACACTTATCAAAATATTATTATTGGATTAATCAAGAATTACAAAATTTAATTTAATCGAGACTTATAATTTTTATATTAATCGAAACATATTATGTTTTCTAATTATTTTTTGTAAGTCTCGATTATTTTAAAAGATAATTATATAATAAGTTTCGATATAAAATATAATTAGGTAATAAATTTCGACTAATACAAAATTTTTAAGTCTTGAATAATTTAAAATTTGTAAATCTAGATTAATCCAGTAAAATACTTCGTATATTTGTGGATGATGTGCCTATATATTACCGTGTATATACTATGTATAATATATCTTTCTTTTAAAAATTATTTTTTTTATAATTTATAAGTTATAATTTTAAAAACTATGACGTATATTCAGTTTTTTTCTAAATTTTTATAATAATTTTAGTATTTTTAATATGAATATTTAAATTTTTTAATAACTTAAATTTTATTTTTATTTTTTTATTTTTTATATTTTAAATATTTGAATAATTTTATATATAGAATTTAAAATAAATTTTATTTTTTCAAAACTTAAATAAATCCTTGATTTTTTTAAAAAACCCAATTGAGCCCTTGAACAAAATACAAAAAAGTCAAATTAACCCATTTATGTTATTAATAAGAGAAAATAACCTCAGTGACCAAAAATCCCATATAATATACGATTTTAACCAACTTTTTCCGGATTTGTCAAAATGACCAACAAAATCGCAATGCGATCGCTAATTCGCAACGCGATCTCCATTATCGCAAATCAGTTTCCAGATTCGCAACGTGATTATGACTATCGTAATGCGATTTTCCAATTTCGCATTGCGATTTTCCCAATTCGCAATGCGAATAAGTAAATCGCAATGCGAATTTGGAAAATCGCAATGCGATACTGACTATCGCAATGCAATTTTCCTAATTCGCATTGTGATTTACGTATTCGCGTTACGATTTTCATAATTCGCAATGCGAATACGTAAATCGCAACGCAATTAAGTAAATCGCAATGCGAATTAGGAAAATCGCAATGCGAATACGTAAATCGCAATGCGATTTACATAACGCCATTCGTATTAACGCGTATTTTTTTTCAAATTCCAAACACGAATTTTTTCTTAATAAATCGGAAGCTGAACCGTCCACAGTAATTGCAACTCATAACCTCAAACCTAAAATCACAACACTCAGTCCCATCTCCATCTCTCACTCTCTACGGCGAAATCCGTCCCCATCTCCGAAGATTTCCGTCCCCATCGCCGACGAAATCCCTCACAACCATTCACAGTCAGAAATCCCTCACAATCATTCAGAAATGGAAAATCAACCTCCGATGGTTAGTTTTTTTTTGTTTTTTTTTTTTGAAAATTTTGCATTATTTTAGGTTTTTCATATTGAGATTGATGATAAGTTTACTGGTAATTTCAATAATAGATTAACCATTTCACTTAGATTTCTTATTAAATTCATTCGATTGCTGCCAATACTGCTAAACTGTTTAGCTTGTGAAGTTAGTATTTGTCTTTGTTTTGTCTTTTGGTTGAAGTAATGCATAAGAAGAATAGTTTCGAGAATGAAAATCGCAACGCGGAAATAACTATCGCAACGAGAGAATCGCAACACGAAACGAAAATCGTATTGCGATTTTCATTTCGCGTTGCGATTTTCATTTCGCGTTGCGATTTTCATTTCGCGTTGCGATTCTTTCGTTGCGATTTTCATTTCGCGTTGCGATTCTCTCGTTGCGATAGTCATTTCGCGTTGCGATTCTCTCATTACGATAGTCATTTCCGTGTTGCGATTCTCATTATCTCGTTGCGATTTTCATTTCAACCAAAAAACAAAACAGTATTGCAAATTTTAGTTTCAAGAATAAACTACTATTTATGTTTATTGTTTTTGGCATATCTTCACAGTGTAGTTTTTGGTATATCTAACTTGGTATGTTTATTGTTTTTGTAGAAATTGTTTTCGGCTTCATTGACATTAAGGAATAAAGTTAGCCTAGCCACTACAATTGCTTCGAAGCTTTCACCTGCACAAAGAAAATTGTTTGAGGAAACCTGCTTCGGGCCATGGTTGAGAGTACAACATCCGGGTGGAGATGCTAATTTGACCCATTTGTGGCTTCAGACCATGACTAGCGATCTACCCGACAGTATACAACGTGGTGAGGAAGAGATATGGTTTCATTTTCCACCGACGTATACTTGTTTTGGGCTGAAGGAGTTCTGCTTAATCACTGGTCTACGATTCGGACACGATGATGTAGGCCGGTACACTCGTCATATCACCCGCCCATCATGGTTATCCAGGGTTTTTCCTGATGAGTCAATAGAGAAGCCGAACTTACACGTCGACGACATGAAGAAATTGTTTAATAAGAAAGATGGTTTTACTCGGATGAATGACGTCGATGTTGTCCGATTATGCCTTCTACTACTTTTGTATGCCGGCTTTTTAGGCAGAGAGGCCAGAAAACCTATTCCTCATGAGCTAATATTATTGGTAGAGGACCTAAATGCATGGAATCTGTTTCCGTGGGGTTCGTATATATGGAAAGCTACCTGGACTAAGTTGTCGTCTGCCTTTGATGACCGCAAAAGTTTGCGGGGCGATGGGTCGAAATACACTTTGTCAGGCTTTGTTTGGGCCTTTAAGGTAAGAATTTCTATATGTTTTCAAAATTATAATTAATTATTTAACAATTACTAATGTTTGTTATTATATTGTTTGTAGATTTGGATATTCGAGGCCTTTCCCGCCATGAAGACATATGCAATAAAAACTTCAAATGATATTCCCAGGGCTATTTCCTGGAAGAGGAAACGTATGTTGGATTGGGAAGACTTAATACCATATGCGACAATAAATAATGTAAGTTAACACAAATACTATCATATATAAACAAGTTATTAATAGTAGACGTTTAACTTTGTTTGAGTTTTTATATTTTTAGGAGGCCAACATTCCATTAATGAGACTGACACCCACGGAGGCTGAGCTTGCCACTGATTGGTGGCAAGCTAGTCAGCGTTTTCTTGATGGCACGAATGATGAGCAGCCTCCACTTCCTCCACTTCGAGAGCCATCACCTCACCCAGAGCCATCACCTGATCGACCCGACTATACACCTCTACAACGAGAGCCATCACCTATCCCATCACATCATCGAGCCTCTTCTCCACCATCACCTCATGATA